TCTGCAGTCAAATAAAGCTACAAAAGAGGAACCTTGACTATAGCAAGCTTACCCCATACGATCTGATGCGAATGCTTAATTGCAAGCCGGCTGACTATCGTGATGACGAGATTTATCCGTCTATTAGACCCCCGGTATCCCAGTGCTGTCCTGCTTTAACAGCAGAGTATTTGATGAATACCCTCAGAGAAGATGGATGTGAGCGTCATTTCGACATGGAGAAGGATGATGTTCTGGAGGTCTGGAGACGAAGCCCAAATAAGGAATCGTTGGGCTACTACGGCGTGGGCACAAATGTTCACAAACCGGAGGCGGTTATGTTTAACCAGGCAATTTGTAAATGTCTTAAAATGGTCAATCTAGAACCGCCCAAACCAAAGAAGGTGCCTCAAAATCCACCTCCGAGTGACAAACCAATGGAACCACCAGGACATGCTATTCTGAATCGCCCAATGCTTAATATACAAGCTCGTAGAATGCCCACAGTTCAGGAAGCCGTAAATGCGGTTGGTGCATTGCGATGGGTGTTCTGTCGTCGTAATGACGAAGAGCCATTTGCTCCTAGTAAGCCCCATTTTCCGATCAATAAAGCTCTTAACATGGAACGGTCACCAACGAAATTCATGTGTGTGCTAAAACGAAAAAAACGATCTGTAATATGATATTCCTATAAATTTATGCTCTCAGCACAAATTACAAATAAAATAAAAATCATATGAAGAGAGGGGATATAGAATATTTAGAGAATGAAACGACAATGGCAACAAAGCAACACAAAAATATTATCCTAAATATCGACCGATCTGTAGTTTTTTTGTTTGATATGACAATGACTTTATTAATTCTGCAAATATCTAAAAATCTTTTTTTTTATTTTTATTTTTTTTGACAATGATTAACGTAGCAAAAGTGGGGTGTGAAAGTGGGAGATGGTAGATTATTATATGGAATATATGAATGCAAAATTCTGAGCCTTGAGATCCAAAGGAACTTCAGTAAGGTTTTTAATTGAAACTATTAATTTGAAGCAGACTCAATCTGTGATATATGAGAATGAATTGCAAGTGTCTAACTCTTATAAATCCTGGAATGGACGCAATCACAGCCACATTCATGTGCCACTAGCTCTAGTTCACTTTAGACAGTAACCTTCAAAAATTTTCACATACTGTTAAATCGAAACACTACTGCAATATATATTTTTTGGAATATGCAAAATTACTATATAAAAGAGCCCGTGGCTCTCCTCTTCATTATTAACAGATGTTACCAATATAGGAACATATTTCTTTTTCAAGAATTTGAGAAAACACTGACATTTAAAATTGCCTGTTTCACCTACTTTGATAGTTTATATATTTCAAAGATTTCTTCGTCAAGCTGTATATATTTTACTATCTAAAATTGTTTTGAATGTGAAACTAACAAAATTTTACTGTATAATTTTGACAAAAATTGTAGTTTTGCATAATTACTGTAATATTTAACAAATTTCAAAAACTTTATAAAAACCAAATTTTATAAAAGACAGAATTTTATAGTAATGTCCAACCAACATGGAACATTTGATAGGAATGCAGCGAATGTTACTGCATGCGACGCTATGCGTTTGCAGAACTGCAAGGCATATACGTTTAGACAAGGGGAAATGTATCCCAGCATTAGGCCCGCAGTGTCTCGGTGTCCTCCCGTCACTGATAAGTGGATGTCCAATGTGGCTGACCCCAAACTATATTCCAGTAACAATGCTTCACCAGTAGAGAATGTTGTCGCTCAAAAGAGATTTGACATGCCCCGCCCATCAAATAAATATGTTTGCAGTCAAATAAAACAACAAAAGACAACCCTTGACTATAGCAAGCTTACCCCATACGATCTGATGCGAATGCTTAACTGCATGCCGGCTGACTATCGCGATAATGAGATTTATCCGTCTATTAGACCCCCGGTATCCCAGTGCTGTCCTGCTTTAACAGCAGAGTATTTGATGGATACCCTCAGAGAAGGTGGTTGTGAGCGTCATTTCGACATGGAGAAGGATGATATTGTAGAGGTTTGGAGACAAAGTCCAAATAAGGAATCGTTGAGCTATTACGGTGTGGGCACGGGCATATATAAACCGGAGGCGGTTATGTTTAACAAGGCAATTTCTAAGTGTCTTCAAATGGTCAATCCGCCAGAGCCGCCTAAGTCAGAGGCAATGCCTGAGAAACCAGTTTCGGGTGAAAATGTAATAGAGCCACCCCGATATGCCGTTCTCAATCGTCCAAAGCTTAGTGCAAAAGTTAGTAGAATGCCCAATGTTACGGAAACCCTAAATGCGATTAGCGCATTGCGATGGGTGTACTGTCCCCGTACTGACAAAGAACGCTTTGCACCTAGTAAGCCCCCTTTTCCGATCAAAAAAGCACTTAACATGGAACGGCCACGTTCGAAGTCTATGCATGAACTAAGACGGAAAGACGAGTACTGTGAACTGCAATGTCATATTCCTGAAAATACATGCACTCAGTTCGAGTGGATGAAATACAAAGAAAATAAAAAATCATATGAAGAGAAGTATAAGCAAGAGATTGAAGATTTAGAGAAAGAATTAAAAATGGAAAATAATCGGGAACAAGAGGAAAAGATAATGTCAGATTTCGAGCTTGGTGGTTTTGGGCCAGGAGCTATCGGACCAGTTTTCGGAATTGGAGAAGAAGATTTGGGAACAGTAACTTTCGGAGGAAACGTTTTTAAATTTCGAAGCTCTGAATCAGAAAATAAGTCTGAATCGAGCGATGTTACAAAACCTATTATTGTGCCACCGGGTGTTGACGCAGGAGGTTTACTACCAAGAAAACGTAAACAGAGACGGTCCTCACATAGGGGTTCAGGAAAATTACGAGGACGTAAAGGGAAATCGGTAGAGCCAAGGAATTACTCGGAACTATACACAACTCTGGTTCCATTTTTTGAGTACGACACAAAATCGAAATTGACCAATGACTATGACAGCTGCATTGCTTCCCTGAAGGATAATGGCAATCAAAAAATTTCATTTACTCCAGACTCATCATCTGATGAAGGCAAAAGGGCGAGTAAGACTGGGGAACGAAAGTCCAGCGTTAAAAAGGGCACATCAGATGGAAAGGCACACGGTAAGAATAGAAATAGAAAGGGGGATATATCAGAAGGCAGAAAAGGGGGAAATAAAAAAGTTAAAATTGGTGGAGAAATTGATAAAACGGATGGTAAAGTTAGACAACAAGGCGATGATGGCAAAAATTCAGGTCGCGGAGATGGCGAATATGACAAATCAGACAATAATATAATAGAAGATAAATCAGATGCATTCTCTAAAGACAAAACAAAGCAGAAAAAGAAATTACACATAAAAATAAAAAAGACACACAAACAAAAGAAATCATCAGATTCGGGTTGCCCGTGCGACATTTGCCAATTCATGACACGTCGCCAAGCGGAACGGGACTCTCCGCTTATTTCTCAATTGAAGCGAGATGATAAACGTCGCCAACTGCGAGAATACTATCGATTCAAGTGCTATATTGAACAGCTCAAGTGTCGCAAGCCAGAGTATCCTGCACCCCAGCACAAATGCGATCCCATTGTATGCAACGATTTCTTCTGTAGAAATCCTAAGATCTCAAACTACTGTGACTGCTTGATGGCCATGCAGGAGTTACAAAAACAACTTGGTCCCAAGCATACGATTATAAAGAATGAACTGATATTCAATTTAGAGGACTTGAAGAATCGACTATGCAATCGCTTTTGTGAGTGCCTTCAGTAACTATTGCCTCAACAGAAAAAAAAATTTAAGAAAATCAGATAGTATGTGTATGGGTTCACAACAGAATTGTGAACTGATTTGAATTATTGAAGTATTCGGTGTATGTGTATTTTGATACAGTATTACAATATATAATTTAATTCTAACTTATTGTTTCTTTTATTTTTATCTTCTTAGCGAACATGTTAATTTTCGCGATGATTTCGTAGTAGTTTTATCGGCTTGTTTTGATGTTTCTAATTAGTCAAACATGAATAACCATTTTTGTTAGAGTCAAGTTTTCAAATCGCAAAATTACTGAGCTGATTGGCTCCAAACATCGGCTTAATATTTAATTTAAAAGATTAGATGACTAAAGTATGAAAATAATTGTAGCTGATGGCATATGACCATACTGTACTCAAGGACCTTTCCAAATTGGAAATTCCAATCTTCACAAAAGTCATCATCTGAGAACAAGAAACTATGTCTTAATTTTTCTGCGGCTGCGCTTGGGCTGTGCTGTGCAGTGTGGGCAATATTATGAGAATTTATTTGTTGAATAATTTCTTTTGTAATGTAACTTTCAGAGCGTAATCATATGGTTAAAATGGGTGTACATTCTAAAGCACAAGTCTCTAGTACTTGAAATGCGTTTTTTACCAATTGGTGGCGAAGGGGGGGGGGTGGTATACAAAATCTGTTAATTACAAAATCTTTGCATCCATTAACTTTATATACAACGCAAATTTGAAGACTCCAGGTCTAAAAGTGTTCAAATTAGGCTGAAAAAACAATGCCGATTTTTCGATTACTCTCGATAAAAAAGTTATCGGATGAGTTATCGAAAAAATATGATAAACTTGTACTGCCTATGGTATACACGAGTATGCATACCAAATTTCAGCTCTCTAGCTTTTATATCTACTGAGATCCTTTTGCTCATACAGACGGACGGACAGGGCTATATCGACTCAGCTCGTCATCCTGATCAAGAATGTATATACTTTATGGGGTCTGCGATGATTCCTTCTGCCTGTTACATACTTTTCACAAAACAATTATACCCTGATTTCCCATTTTCAATGGGAAAATGCATATTTACTGACTGCCGTATTTGATTGTATTTGGGTTTTGGTGAAATGCAGCAGGCAAAGACATTTTAATTTGCTTTAATCAATGCCTACTTTGATAGTTTAAATTTCCGAGACTTCTTCGCTCGTTAGCATTTATTTTAGTTTCTAAATTGTTTTGAATGTGATACTAACAAAATTTTATTGTGTTGTCTTGACAAAAACAGTATACTATTATTAATATTTCACAAATTTTTCATGTTATAAATTGACAAGTTTTACCGAAAAGAATGTCCAAAAAGCATGGAACACTTGATATAGATGCAGCTAATGTTACTGCATACGATGCTATGCGCTTGCAGAACTGCAAGTCGTATACGTTTAGACAAGGGGAAATGTATCCCAGCATTAGGCCCCCGCTGTCTCTGTGTCGTCCCGCATTCTCAGAAAAGTGGATAGCCAACGTGGCTGAAAATACAGGCTGTAAGCCATTCGACCCCAAACTGTACTCTAACAAAAAAGCCGCACCAGTAGAGAATGTGGTCACTCAAAAACGAGTTGACATGCCCCGCCCATCGAATAAATACGTCTGCAGTCAAATAAAGCTACAAAAGAGGAACCTTGACTATAGCAAGCTTACCCCATACGATCTGATGCGAATGCTTAATTGCAAGCCGGCTGACTATCGTGATGACGAGATTTATCCGTCTATTAGACCCCCGGTATCCCAGTGCTGTCCTGCTTTAACAGCAGAGTATTTGATGGATACCCTCAGAGAAGGTGGATGTGAGCGTCATTTCGACATGGAGAAGGATGATGTTGTGGAGGTCTGGAGACGAAGCCCAAATAAGGAATCTTTGGGCTATTACGGCGTGGGCACGGGCATTCACAAGCCGGAGGCGGTTTTGTTTAACCAAGCAATTGCTGAGTCTCTTAAAAAGGTCAATCCGCCGGAACCGCCGAAGCCAAAGGAGCCTGAAAAACCACCACCTGACAAAGTAGTGGAGCCACCCGGATACGCTGTTCTCAACCGTCCAAAGCTGGCTGTTAAAGTCCGCAAAATGCCCACTGTTCAGGAGGCTGTAAGTGCTGTGGGTGCCCTTCGATGGGTGTACTGTCCCCGCGACAGGGAGCAGGCCTTTCCACCTACTGAGCCTCATTTTCCGATCGAAAAAGCCCTTGATATGGAAAAACTACCTGGAAAATCTAAGCAAGACCTAAAACAGAAAGACAAGTACTGCGAACTTCAATGTCATATTCCAGAAAATACATGCACACAACTCGAGTGGATGAAATATAAAGAAGATCAAAAATCATATGAAGAGAAGTTTAAAAAAGAGATGGAAGAGCTAGAAGAAGAAATGCGAATGGAAGTGGCATGGGAAATAGAAAAAAAGAAGCAGCAGCAAATGGGACAAGGAGGTTTTGGACCAAGCAGTTTTGCACCGCCCGGTTTCATACCAGACGGTGCTGCATCACGCGATGTCGGACCAGGAACTTTGGGATCAACTCCTTATATACCTCCAGGTGTTGACGCAGGAGGTATTCTACCAAGAAAAGGTAAACTGCCAAGCATGACACTGGGAAGACCAAGTGCACGGAAATCTCGATTTAAACAGCCTAAGGATTACGACGAGCTGTACAATGTTCTGGTTCCATTATTTGAACATGATGACAAGCAGGAGCACACCGATGCTTATGAGAAGTGCATCGATGTATTGAAGGATGGAGGATCGAAAATTTCCTTTGTTTCAGAAGACTCGTCGTCTGATGATAATAAAAAGCGACGATCGACTAAACGAAGAAAGTCTAGCGTAAAGAAGACTAAAACAGTCAAAGAACGTCCACTCAGACCGATGAAAAAAAGCATTGAATCAGTAATATCACTTCCAGAAACTGAGCCGGATAAAGGGGGAGGTAGTTTCATGACACCTAGGCAAACTTTGACGACTGGTATGCATAAAAGTAGCTCAGAGTCAGAGTCAGATACTACAAAGAAGACGCGCAAGAAGCGTAAGAAAGGCAAAGGCAAGGGCGGTGGCAAGGGCAAGGGCAAGGATGGCAGTGGAGGAATTGAGTGCCCCTGCGAAATATGCAGTTTTCTGAAACGTCGCAGTGAAGAGACTGAATCTCCGCTAATACAGCAAATGCTCCAGGATATGAAAAGGGAAAACAAGATAAGGGAATTGCGCGATTACTACAAACAAATGTGCCACTGTGAGTATATGAAATATCGCAAGCCCGAATATCCAGCGCCACAGCACAAGTGCGATGCCATTCAGTGCGACAATACCTTCTGCGCGAATCCAAAGTTAGCGGAGTATTGCGACTGCTTAGATGCTATGGAAAATCTGAAAAAGTTGCTGGGTCCCAAACACTGTATCGTGAATAATGAATTGTTGTTTAACATTAACGACATTCAGGAGCGCATAAGTCGTCGCCTATGTGAGTGTCTATAGCCACAAAAGCGTACAAATATTTCATTTAGTTTGACAATTATTATGTTTCAAAATTTGTATTATTACTTTGTTTAAATATAATTTGACTAATTTTGCATTATACATATATTTTTTTCTTCAATAATGGCGGATATTTTTTCTGTAAACTGGAGCAGAATATCACTTTAATAGATTGATCTAACCGCTGTATGTATTTGTAAAGTTGTGTAAAGTCTCCAACTTATACAATTTCCTTTAATGAGGACATACTGAAGGACCTTTATATATACCTTTAAGAAGACCACGCTATAACCAATCCATCTTCCATTATCTTCACATTATAATAATTTCATCTTTGACAATTATACTTTCTAGTCATCTTTCTTCATTCAGTTCACTTAATGCTGGAATTGATCGCCTACTGAATGTGGGCATGGACAGTGTGTTTAATGTAAATGTCACTTTTCAGTTTACTTTCTGTAATATTTTGAGACTGTAATCATTCCAAAATTTTCGTTATGTTTTAGGGAAAACTTGTAGCCTTTTTATAGATTTTTATTAATTATTTTCTTAACCTTTTACAAGTCTTATTAAAACGTGAGACCTCATAGAATGCGAAGACAACAAGAATCACACATTCGAAATGCGGACCAGCTTTCACTTCAAGCGGCCAAGCAAATGGCAAACACTAAGAACTTTGCTTTTCGCAGGGGCGAACTATATGCCACTGTCAAGCCGCCAGTATCTAAATGTTATCCAGAGATCACAACAGAATATTTAATGGATGCAATTCAACATTACGGCTACAGACACGTAATCAATAGATTGGATACAAATCAAGTAGAAAGAAAGGAGAAGAAATCAACCGATTCGGGCAAGTCTAGTGTGAAGTCTAAGCCATTTCCGGATAAAAAGAATACGCCCAGGGAAGTCAAACGGATGCTCAATAGGAAGGCAGCCAATTTTCAGCAATGGGAAACATCTCCCAGTGTATCAATGACTCCTGTATTGAAAAGTGATTCTCAGCTCTCTATTACCAATGGCGCTACGAGCCAGAGGTCTGGACGACCATTTCACATGGATCATGATGATATTGTGGAGGTCTGGAGACGTATCCCCAACAAGGATACTTTGGGGTACTATGGCGTAGGAGCGGGCAAAAATAAGCCAGAGGCGGTCGTTTTTAACCAGGTCATTGAGAAATGTCTCAATAAAGTAAAACCACCAGAAGTCAAGGGAAAACCATTGAAGACTCCAGCTGTTGCAACTATGCCTTCTACGCCAGGGCATCAACCCTATGTACTTAATCGAACCCAATTAAAGGCCAAAGTTGATAACATGGCCTCGCTTAATTTAACCAAAGCAATCAGTTGGCTTCATTGTCCCCGTTCGCTTGCAAATGTTCAGCCCTTTTTCCAAAGCGAGACTCTGATTGGTAAGAAAAAGACCGGTGCGGAGAAACGTTCCCCGAAATCGACCCCTTTAAGGCGCCGACAAAAACAGCCAAAAGGCGAGCTGATCAACTATGAATGCATGGAACCGAAAAAAGAATCTGCGTATGAGCTCGCCTACCGGAAGGAGATGGAAAAATTGGAGAAGGAAATTGAATCGGAGCCAAAGGATTATGATGAACTCTTCTCGAAGCTGATCACTTGCTTTCAACGAAATGCCCACAAAGATTCTCTTTATGAAGCGTACAAGAGCTGCAAGGGATCCTCTCAGCATGGTTTCATGCCTGATTTAAGTGGTGCCACTGAGATTGGCGGTGCAGGCGACATTGCTTCTGGTGGTGCTAACACCGGCTTAAGCACAGAAGGAAGCGTGCTGAGAAGAGTTTTGGATGAAGTCAGCGAACGCGATGCAGCACGAAGAAGCCTACTTAAGGATGGGTCTACAGAAAAAACCGGCAGTTCGAATAGTGGACCTAAACGTGCATCTAAGGGTGCATCTCAGGGTGCATCTCAGGGTGCAGGAGATGGTCGTGGTAGTCGCGGTGGTCCTAGTGGTAGTCGCGGTGGTCCTAGTGGCAGTCGTGGTAGTGGTAAGTCTAAGACAAAGGCCAAAACGGACGCAATGAGAGCTTCTACAAAAAACAAGATGCCAACGTCTGAACAAAAACCCTTCGATGTGAAGTTTCGCAATAAACAACATAGTTTCATAATGTCTAGTTCTTCGACTCACCGATCGATGCTCTCCACCGATTACTTTGGCGACAACTCCAAAAATTTTCCACCGGACAAATCCGATACATATCAGGCGAAAAAACGAAAACCATATAAGAAGAATATGAAAGCGCAGAGAAAGTGGAGCTCTAATGTATCACGATACAATAACACACGCGGCAAGGACTGCCAGTGTGTAGTTTGCAATTTTATGGAGCGCCGCGACCGAGAGCCGGACTCACCGCTGATCAATCAACTGAAAGAGGAGGAGAAGCGACGCAAACTCCGGGAATACTACAACAGTATGCGCCATAGAGAGCAAATTGCCTGCGCTCCGAAGGAATATCGTGCACCACAGCGCAAATGCGAACCCATCAAAGAGGAAAGTTGCTTCTGCACAAGCCGCAAGTGGGGCGAATATCTTGATCGACTGGATGCATTACAAGATCTACAAAAATCGTACGGTCATATGGATAGAGCGCTTCAATTCAAAGTCAAAGCACTCAAGGATCGTCTATGCTGGCAAATATGTGAAGGTCTGCAAAACCAAAGAAAGATGAGGGCTAATCGGCATTGAGGCATTTCTTAGGAAATTTTTTTTATACTTTTATATTATTTTTGTTTTAATTAAATTAATTGTTATTTATAAAAACAGACATTTTCGTGTTATCAGTTACACCCAAGAACATGTAAACCATTGCTTTCTATGATTGATATATATGTAGTATATAGCGACGCCTACTTAGACTATACAACTGATGTCGATATGGGTCGATATGTGAGCTAACTTTGCTTATTAGGTAAAATGTTTTGAACTGAGAACATAATAAATTTGAGAATCCCATTCAAAAACCTGATTAAGGTTTAGCATTTGACTAATCATATATACACATATATACAAAATGGATCAAAGTAAGGAGCCAGAAAGAAAAGATCAGTCTTCCGAGGAAGAAGATGGCAAGGAGCTCGATTACGCTCAATTGACGCTCTACGATGTGATGCGCATAGAGAACTGCAAGGCGAACCGATTTTTGAAGAAAGAAACGTATCCCAATATAAGACCGCCAATATCACGATGCTCGAATGAGCAATCGGGAAACTTCTTATCGGAGGCTATTGTCGATATGGGCTGCAGGGTACCCTTTGGCAAGGATAAGAGATTTGACACCATTGAGATATGGAGGCAAGCTCCGAACAAAGACTCGCTCAGTTTTTATGGCATGGGATCGAAAGTCAATCTGCCAGAGGCAGTCGAGTATAGACGAGCTCTCACCAACTCTCTCAATTTGGTCAACGGCATCGATCCAAAGGCCAAGAAGTCAAAAAAAACAAAGAAACCGGAAAAGGTGCCCAAGCCTAAGGGTGCCTATGTACTCAACCGTAATATCTTGCACTGTGCCATCAATAAGATGCCGACGGTGCTCAAGAAGACGCACGCTAAGAATTCTCATAGAATACTTTATTGTCCAGAGGATGAGTACGAAGATGAATTTGGCGACTACGAACCTTATATTCCCCTGCAGGTGGCCCTCGACATGGAGAAGCCACCCAAAAAGCCAAAGCACGGCCTCCGACGCAATCACCAGTACTGCGATGTGCAATGTGGTCTGCCGGATAACATGTGCACGTACTACCAATGGATGAAGTACAAGGAAGATACGTTACCGTACGATGTGGAATTCGACCTGGAGACGGAGCTAGAGGAGGCGATGGCCGAAGAGCAAGATGATGAGCCAAGAACTTTTGAAGAGCTCTATTCAAATCTGGTGGGCTGTTTTGAGAAGAATAAAGATGAAATTCCGCCGTGCACTATCTACGGCAAATGCTGCAGGAGACCTTCGGAGCGCGTAGTAATTCAAGGTTGCGGTGAAGATAAGATCTTTGGCCCTCACGGTAAGTGATGAAAATGGAATCAAAGTTTATACGTGGACTAGACTAGGGGTAAAGGTCTGACAAGAAATTTAATAGGGATATCAGCAGGGAGCAGAGTGAGCTCATAATAACATAAAAGCAAGCACGGGGAGATAAAGTCACACCTCAGCGCAACGCAAACAGTTACATAATTAAAGAAAATAAACTTTTCTTTTCCATGAATTAACATTCGGAATGACCATAAATATAGCTTTGCTTCTCTATTTGTCTAGTCATAAATATGTATGTATGTCATACTTTTAACTTCATACAACTTGTGACGTGTGACAGCGCAACAGACGCCGGGGAAAAGGTCAAAAATTAATTATGAAAGCTTGGTAAGGTTTGCAGCTAAGCAAAAGTTTGGATTACCTTTTTTCGGACGGTCATTTGTATTGCCCTTTTGCCTATACATCGGAACTATTACATAATTCATTTGGGAGCAGACAAAAATGATAACTCTTTAAGCGTGTCCGAGTAGCGCTTCAGCGCATTTTCATAAAATCGCATTCCATTTCATATCAATGTAGCAGCAAGTATATAAGAATGATATGTTTTAAATATGTTACATATAAACCATACGAAATTAAAAATAATTCTTACATATCATACTTATATACTTGGTCATATATAACCATTAATTGATTTGAAATTCCATATTTAAATATTATGAAAAATACTTGAATGTGTAAAATTTATTGCCGAGGCTATGATTATCTACTCCGCTGATTATCTAATCAGCCATTATTTTTATGAGTTTTCTAATATTCAGTTATTAATAGTTATAGGGTGTTCATTAACTTGGGATTATCTAATTATCCATTAAATTTGTAATTGCTGAAATATTTGTTTTCGTATAAGCATTAAAGAACAAATTGATTAAAAATAATTATAATATATATGGTTCTATAAAGTTTTTATCAGTTATAACTGAATAATCTTTGATGTTTTTACATTTTGCAGAGATTTTAGTTATAGATTTATCAGTTAGAAATATGTTTATAAAATGTATATTTAAAGTGTCTCCACAACTTTAATGGCTAAATAGAACACTCGATAGGGCATTAAAAGAACATTTTTAATCAACGTGCGCCAAAAAAAGACAACAGGCACGCCCTCTGAACACAAGCACACACACACATATTCTCGAAATGTAATGAAAAGGGGTTAAATGGGGGAGTAGACAAATGTTGTGGCTTACTTTCTAGCATATGTTGTAATGCAGACTTAAATGGACTGCAACATATGCAGGCCCCATTTGCTTTTATTTTTTCAACTTTTCGAGTTAATCATTCGCATATATGTACCTATATACAATAGAGCAGCTGTGGGCGTGGCATGCGGCCAACTCTCACACTTTGGCGTAGACTCATTTAGCTGCTCGCTTCATTTCTCCGCTCGCTGCATTTCATTAGTGCAACAATTTCACTGTCCAGTGCGAGGCCAAAACGCAGCTCGTTTGCCTTTGATAAGAGGCCAACGATTGGGGTTGTGGGTAGGCAGCGCCTAGCCTAAGGGTTGGTCAGGCAGCCACGAGTGTCTGGTGGGTCTGGCACATACATATGAATTATACGCGACGCCCATCAAATGCCTGGCCCCATTGATCCAGGTTAAATATGCACTTCCAGCAGCTGCCACAAGAAAAGGGCGCTGTCATGTGAGGAGCAGCATTTGAAACTGGGGCAGACTAAGGCCGACTTTAAAAACACAACTGTGGGACAGGGGTTTTTTTTTTTTTTTTGCTTAGTAAGTCATGAAAAGTCAGAACAAAAAGTCGAATGCTCGCTTTTTTGCTTCTCTCTTTTTGTTAGATTCATTGTTGTTGGCGTTTCCTATTTGCCGCTGGCAGGATACGCTTGCCGGCTGGTTGAATCAGTCTGTCCCTGTTCAGGCGCTTCCTTTTGCAAACGTTACGTAAAATGCTTTTTACGCTCAATTCTTTGCAAAAAGTTATGCGAGCTTGGGTGTAGGATCACAGCCATGTTGCCGTGTCATTGCAATGATAAATGTATTTGGTCACACACACACACACACAGATGTCTGGACATGGCCAACACCCGCACCCACACCCACACCAATACTCGCGTGAAACACTAAGTACACACAATAAGCGTTTGTGCCATGAAAAGAAAATTGTGTGAATCGACCAAGAAGTGACATACGCACACACAAACAAACACACACACATTGTGCTCTAAGGAAATAACAGCAAGGCAAGCCAATGGAACGAGAAGAAGAAACGGAGCATCTAATATGGCGACACAAAACAATGCTAACCAGAGGCTAACACATACGAGTCGCATTTGTTTTTGTTTGCTTGTCGGCGCCAAAAACCTGAACATAACGCACGTGACCTGGCTAAGGGGGGCGAGGGAAAAAAAAAGAATCTATACATATGTTCATGCTCTATATAAATTGTGGATTATGCGTGCGCACCTGAACAGCATAGAATAGAATAGGATAGAATAGAATAGAGCTTGTTTGTGTGGCTCGCTTGCCTTAGCCTATAATTGGATTTCAATCGCTAAAGTCAAAGCAATTTTTATTAGCTCGTTTTGCGAATAGCTTCGCTCGAATGTACGCAGCCGACCAAGCGCAAATATACAAACAAACATTTCGGACCGTTCGTTGAATGGTCGAAATAATTAATGTTGCCAATATTTTTTATTTACAAACAAACAGGGAAAATTCAACAAGGAATGCTTCAAGTATCACACGAGATCAAATGAATTTTGGCGTGCCATCTGTTTGATACCCTTCGCGATTGCAATTAATTAGGTTACGTGTCAAGATTGATGTATAATATATCAGTATATATTTAAACTAATTGCCATGCTTTATTAAATTAATGAAAGTGTAAATTCGTTCTTCAATTTAAGGACAGATGTCTTTTAGAGATATTATATAAATGAAAAATTTATATAATTTATTTATTTTCTATTTTTATTTCCAACGCTTGACAAAATTCTTTTTTAAGTACACTCAAGAAACCTTTGAACTGCTATTTGAACTCTCAAGATTTCCCATAGAAGAATTTAATACGAAAAACAGATTTAATTTGAATTTGAGACTCGAAAGTAAACTTGCTGTGCTGCTTGGTTGTCATAAGAGTGCATACATCTATATATTTATATGTATTATACAAATAAATATACTACCTATGTGCTACATACAAACATAAATACATTCATTCCATTCACACATTTTCCACACACACATTTTCTCTGTAAAATTTGCTGCTTTACCTCGTCTCACCCCTCACTCCTACTGATTCCCTTTTATTTCTTCGCCCACTCCAATCAATAATGAATGAAAATATTTTAAAATGAAATGGCACAAATAAATCTGACTTATCAAAATCAAGTATATCACATATAATTCTCTTCCATCCTTCCTCACCTGCGTATACTTAATATTTTTCAATTGTAATTCCAGAATGCGAATGTAACTGTGCTGACAGCTAATATATAATGATATATCAATATACTCACTTTTGGCTTTTTGGCATACTGTCCTGTGCGCACATCACGAATTGTGGCAATGTCCAGAATGTCGAGCTCATTGTTTTGATCAACCCAATAGAGAAAGAAGCCCTTGGCATCCACTCGCATTGTCACCGGTGTCCCGCTGCCTGAATCCTGAAATTAGAATGCAACAAATAGAAGGAAGTACAAGGAAATGAATACAAGTATATATGTGTATGATATATGTCTTTTTGCTAAATCTGTGCAAGGTTTTCCGTTTTCATTAACAGCTTAGCAATAATAAAAAAAAAAAAATGGATTCAGGGTATAAAAAACCATTTTTTATTGCACTAAAGAAAACATTCCCCAGCGCACCCTCGGTTCATTCAACTTGGTCGAGACTTATGAATTTATTGCAACGAATTTTACTTTCCAATCGCCCGCAAAATGGCCAGAACGAAGAAAGTCATATCTGCTTATTATTTAAGTCAAATTAAATGGCCCTGTAAAATGTGCCCCGTGTCGTCAGCCCACCTCCTCCTCCGTCTGCTCCTCGACCGCCGACTGCCATAAATATTTTAGCATTCATTCATAAAAACCAAAGAAAAGAATGCGAAATTCTCTTATGCTGGCCCCAGCTGCCGGCTCGGCTATGGCAAACAGATGCGCTCAGATAGAACGCACAACGCAAGCCGAAAATGAAATATTTTATTTTATTTCTTTTTTCTTTTGGTTTGTTTTTTTTTTTCGGTTGTTTTTGTTTTCCATATATTATATGCAAAACAAGATGCCCCGAAACATTTGAGCATTGTGCACGGCATCCATCCGAGAGCAGCAATATTTCAGTTTTCTTGGAATCTTCCTACTTGAAAAGCCGTTAAATGGTGCGTAAGATATAAACACTCATTAACAATTACAAAGCATATATCATAGACTAAATATGTTTTTGCCCCACTGAAAATTAAAATATATTTTCAGCACTTGTTGCCATCTCAGCTCAGCTCGGCTTTCAATGTCATGTAAGCCTTTAGAGATTTTATTTCATGTGCAATATACATATAGAAAAAAATACATTTAAAATGAGTAAAGGACTAGGTAAAATTTTGTGCGAAAATATATATATGTATATATATTTTTTTAAATTTTTCAACTTTCAAGTTTGTCTTAAATAAAATCTGTTAGGAAAGGTTGAAAGTTACTTAAGCTTCAAATAGGCCTAAAAGTAAAATTTCAATTTAATTTAAAACTATGAAATGAAACTTAAGCTTGACAAATGCGACCTAAAGTATTGACAACAACTTCTATTATTATACCCTGAACCCATTTTCAATGGGAAATCAGGGTATAATGGTTTTGTTGAAATGTATGTAACAGGGAGAAGGAGGCGTGGCAGACCCCACAAAGTATATATATTCTTGATCAGGGTGACGAGCTGAGTTGATTTGGCCCTGTCCGTCTGTCTGTCCGTCTGTCCGTCTGTCCGTCTGTCCGTATGTATGAACGCGTCGATTTCAGAAGATATAAGAGCTAGAGACTTCAAATTTTTTTTAAAATGTCCGTAATTACAGCGCGCATATCAAGTTTATCATTAAAAATCGATAACTCATCTCGATCTTTTTTTATCGATAAAAAACCTTATCGAAACCCAGTTATAAAATTATATCTTCTACACCTTTATTGCTAGTCTCCAAATTTTTAATGTATGCTTATATGCAATTTATACAATTTCGGTTTTTGTTAAAATTTACCCCCCACCTCTAAATTCACCCCCTCACCCTCACTTTTGTAAAAAGCGTATTTCAAATACTAGAGACTTGTGCTTTGGCAATTACATGCATATTCATGTTATAATCATAATCTAAAAGTTTCATGAAGATCGTACGTCCATAAAAAAAGTTATTAAACAATTAAATTCTCATAGTAAGCGCACACTGCAGCCCATGCGTGTTTATGCGTGGTTGCTTGTGTGTGTATGTGTTTGTGTATGTGTGTGTGTGTATGCGTTTGTGTATGTATGCGTGTGTGTGTGTATGTGTGTCTGTATGCGTGTGTGTGTATGTATGCCTGTGTGTGCGTCCGTGCGTGTGTGTGTGTGTGTGTGTGCGTGTTTCTTGTGTAAGCTGAAAGTCGCGAAAAAGTATTGAAATATCTATTGCTCCAAGGGTTCAGGGGATCTCGTAGTCGAGCAGTCTCGACTAGAGCTTTCTTACTTGTTTTTGTTTTGTTTTGCTGTAATTACAAAAGTTACATATTATTTAAATGGTGAAAAATATATTTTATATATTTTTTTTTACAATTGTCTTATTTACAACCAGCATTAAATCATAAATATTCACATTATTTAAACCCTAAACCTTAAATAAAATCATCAAGAAAGCTTTACATTCCTGTTTGACATACTTTAAATTGTTGGGATTGCAAAGATTGTCATATATGTAAGATATTTGCAAAGCGAAAATTTACTATTTCAACAAAATTAAATAGAAATTGCAAGAGATATTTGCGTTTCTAGAACAAAAAAATTACGACCTAACTTTTATGCCATCTATTAAAGTTTAATGGCAAAAGGCATAAATCGAGATATTTCAAAATATGTGAGCTTAAGTGATGCATGGCATGTTATGTAAGATAGAGCATAGAAGGTAAAAGCATAAATAATGTAAGTTACTTCAGTTAACAAAAAGATAAAATATAAAGATTGTTATAATATAAATAAAATACTTCAGCTAACTTTTAGACAAAATATGAATGATATACTAAAATATATAAATGAACAAGAAAGCTCTAGTCGAGACTGATCGACTACGAGATCCCCTGAACCCTTCGAGCAATAGCTATTTCAATAATTTTTTGCGTCTTTCTGCTTACACAAGAAACAGGCACACACACAAACACATACACACACAAGCACCCACGCATAAGCCCGCATGGGCAGCAGTGTGCGCTTACTATGAGAATTTAATTGTCTAATAACTTTTTTGTGGACATACGATCGTCATGATAGTTTCAGATCGTAATTTTAACAATAATATGCGTGCACTTGCCAAAGCACAAGTCTCTAGTATTTGATATACCCCTTTTACAAAGGTGAGGGTGAGGGGGTTGATTTAGGGGTGGGGGTAAATGTTGACAAAACCCGAAACTGTATAAAATGCATATAAATATACATTCAAAATTTGGAGACTGTAGCTCCAAAGATGTAGGAGATATAATTTTATAACTGATTTTCGATAAGGTTTTTATCGATAAAAAAAGATCGGGATGATTTATAGATTTTTAATGATAAATTCAATATCCGCGCTGTAAATGCGGACATTAAAAAAAATATTTGAAGTCTCTAGCTCTTATACCTTCTGAAGTCGCCGCGTTCATACATATGGACAGACGGACGGACAGACAGACGGACAGGGCCAAATCGACTCAGCTCGTCGCCCTGATAAAGAATATATATACTTTATGGGGTCTGCCACGTCCCCTTTTGCCTGTTACATACATTTCAACAAAACCGTTATACCCTGATTTCCCATTAGGTATTTGAGCACGCTAAGCTCAAATTGCAAAGACTTTTTGCTCGATTCAATATTTCTATAATCGATTTTGTATCGTGCCCTCAACTGCGACCCATGAAATATGACCATTACTTTAAGGGAATAAGTGTTATTTTTGGTCGAGAATTGATGACCATTGAAATAGTCTTAATGAGCAAATTGAATTTGCAGCTGTTTCGGCAGTTCATTATCCTTTGTTGGGGTCGGTTTAATGAACTCAGAAAGGTGGCAAAGTGGCCCCCATTTCACTTAGGGGAATTCTACTCGCCCCAACAACTAACCGACCGACTCTCTACTAATAATTGATATTGAAAACATTAACTTGCAGTTCAAATTTTTGCTCTGGGGGCATTTGGGGGTCATTTGGGACTCGACTATGGCTTCGGTTCATTTCCTTCTGTTTGGTCAGCGAGCCCAAGCCATCCCCGACTGCCACATTTATATTCAATTAAGCGCATATTTTCTGCAGATTTTTGGGCTGGCATTCAAAAAGGGTTGCGCTCCGCTAATTGGACTACAAATTTAACCCCGCGTAAAACGAATATTTCGATACTTGAGCACGAGACTTTTATATTGTTTGCGCTGTTTGTCTAATTACTTTTAACTAATTAAGCTACGCGCTATCCCGGCCCGATCGTTCATTACAATACAATGGCCAAAGTTGAGTGTTAACCAACACTGGCACAAGCATAAATAGCCAAGTGAATTGTCGAATATCCCTCTAAATTGAGTGAGAAATGGGAAATTCATGCTTGTAACTGAAAAATTGTTGAGGCGACAGATTCAATATCTCACATTCTCTGTCTCTTTCTCTCTCTCTCTATGTGCTAGCTTGTTTGGACTAAGAGCGATTACATGCATAATTCAATTGATGTAACAGCCTGTCTGTGCTTTTCGTTTCTCGTTCACCCCTGCCCTTAATATTGTGACATAGAGATTTCTGTCTACAGACATTTAGGGAGGCACTTGGTTTTGTTGGTTAGGCGCCACCACAAAAAAGGGATAAGTCCGTAGGCAGATGTGCCGCATTTACAGTTGAACAGAGACATAGAGATACAGCTACAGATACAGATACATCTCCAGTCCTGTGCACATTGTGTTGTCAATCATGCTTAGGGGCCTGCCAATAAAGCCGGCAAGTGCGTGTTACAGTTGCCCATACGCAAAGCGTCAACTGCTTCGGGGACTATGCAAATGCTATTTGGGATTATCCAGCTGCTGCTGCTGCTACTGCTATCGTTGCGTATGGGATTTCTTGATCCCTTTTCACACATTCCTAAACTATTGAAATAAGTATATTTGTGTGCAGCAGTTGACTGGATAATACCCTGTAAAGATGCTTATCTATATGAACATTATACTGATGATATAACACAAATGATTCCTTGGGAATTCCCTTTGCATTCAGTTGCATACCTCAAATAGCTCAAAGTCAAATGTTAATTAGTTGCTCAAAAGTCTCCAGAATTTCCTTAAAATAATACTCTCTCTCCTTAGAACCTTGTTAGAACCTTCGACAGCTGCAACTTCAAATTACATACAAATGATGTCATAAAAACGTAGACATCCTCCACGCTTGTCACCTGTGCAAGTTTGTTGAGCACTTCAAAACTAGCTGCTCGAGTTGCTGCTGTGTTGGTTTAAAGTTTTACCCAGGCACTTATTAAGCATACGCCGAGTGGCACACTCGAACAAAACCCAGCCCAGCCCACAGCACGGCTGCAGCTGTCAAACGTTGTTGGGGACGTAGCTTAGCTCACATTAAGATTAATGTAGAGCAAGTAAGATGGTTCTAGTGGGGACTACTTGACTAGGAAATACCCTGAACTCAGTAAAAAATTTCCAATCTATTGATTTTCGATATTAGATTTTTAGATTGTAATTATTGAGTATATTTACCCAAGTACAAATCTGGAATTAGGAGCGAAAGGTAGGAAGGGGGTAGGTTTCCTAAACCGAAATTGTGTTAAATACAAAGATCTACACAGTAAATCTACGCTTAAAAACTACAAAAAATATCGATTGCAATCGATAAATAGGATAAATACGATAAATATTTATCGCAAAAAATTACAGGCTCTTACACTGTATGGTATACTCGAATATAGATTTAAGATTGGAAGTCTCTAAGATTTGGAGTGTACGAGATCTCTTCATATGGATGGAATATATACATACATGTGTATATTCTTTAAGAAAAAGAATATACTCTAACAGATATATAGTTATATATATAGTTATATACAAACATTTTCACAATACCTACCTATATTTCAATGGGTTTTGGGTTCTATATGCGAAATTCTATTGAAACGCCCTTGCGATATGGCCCTTAATTCACGGCAGTTACATTACTTAGAATTTACGATTGGTCATGTGCGATCCAACACATGGAACAATCAAAATGTAGCTTATCGACCATCGGCAATACTGATAGAGCAGAATTAACTATATCTAGGAATTAAAGAGATTAGATTGTTGTTGTTTGCTTTAATTGGTGGCAAATATATTACGCAAAGATCATTTTGATACGAGTGGAATTTAGGGACTGCTCAGTTCAGCTGGTAGTAGGCGCTAATCACTTGGTAGATCCAATCGACGTAAGCGGGCACCGAGGTGTACACCGTCGGCCGATCAGCATAGCCGCAGGGCATATAGCTCCAGGAGCCCAGGCCCACCAGCTCGGCGGGCCCAGTGATGGGCCAGTAGACCAACGGACTGCCGCCATCGCCATAGCATGCCTTCACCTGAGCACACACCTGTTTCCGTGAGAGCGGCGCATCTGAAGGCAGCTGCTTGGCGCACTGCTCGCTGTTTAGCAGCGGAGCGAATGCATATTGCAGCTTCTTCGAATACTCGTCGCCATCAGCTGTGGTCAGACCCCAGCCATAGAGGGCAGCCGTCTTGTTGCTGTAGTCCTCGTCAAGATCCGGCAGCGCGATTTGCTGCACACGATTCGAGTAGACGAACGATTGGGAGACATGCAGCAGGGCGATGTTGTCGCTGCCGGCGACGCCGTTGAATTGGCGATGCGTCGCCCCAAAGTCCACGAGGCGCACCTGAGCGTCGCTCACATTCGATCGATTGGAAAGTCCCGCATAGATGGGAATGCCAATCACGTCACCATTGAAGCGACGCAGCTCCTCCACGCAATGGCCGGCGGTCAGCACCCAGCGCTTGCCAATGATGGCGCCCGCACACTGATGGCTGTAGATGAGCGGCGTCAGGCTGAGTGAGACGAGATAGGGCGCATTGTCCACGCCCTTCACATCGTAGCCTTCTATAATGCGCGCCGACATTTCCATGGCCAAGTCGTCCTTTATCTTCTGCATTATTCGTTCCACCAAGCGGGGCTCCGTTCCCTTTTCGTCAGCCTTGATCGCCTTGGCCAGCTCCTCATAGTGCTCCGACAGCAGGTGCTCGAGCTGCGGCTGCTGGCCAATGGCATTGGCTCTGGCCAGCGCCAAGAGCGGCAGCAGAGCGATACAAATTTTTACCGTAAACATAGCGTTATGTGTGGGACCGAATGTGAACTGGTCCCGGAAGCCCTCGAAACTGCGTATATAAACCTAGGCGTCCAATTGAGCTTTCCGATAAGCGACGAGTATAACAAGAGCGATTAGTGTTATCGCAGAATGATTTTGGGAGGGCGGGCAGCAATATTTCAAATACATATATATGGATTTTTCTCTTTTTATACCCTGAACCTATTGAAAATGGGAAGTCAGGGTATAATGGTTTTGTGAAAAGTATGTAACAGGCAGAAGGAGGCGTGACAGACCGCTTAAAGTATATATATTCTTGATCAGCACGACGAGCTGAGTCGATATAGCCCTGTCCGTCTGTCTGTCCGTCCGTCCGTAGGAGCAAAAGGATCTCAGAAGATATAAGACCTAGAGAGCTGAAATTTGGCATGCATACTCGTGTATACCATAGGCAGTACATGTTCATGATATTTTTCGATAACTCATCCGATAACTTTTTTATCGAGAATAATCGGAAAATCTACTTTGTTTTTTCAGCCTAATTTGAACACTTTTAGACTTGGAGACTTCAAATTTGCTTTGTATATAAAGTTAATGGATACAAAGATTTTGTAATTTACAGATTTTGGATACCACGCCCCCTACGCCCCCAATTTGTGGAAAACGCATTTCAAATACTTGTGCTTTGGAATGTACACACATTTGAACATTATGATTACGTTCATTAAGATTGTACGTCTAGAAATTATATTATTCAACAAATAAATTCGTATAATATTGCCCACATTGCAGCGCAGTCTAAGCGCAGTCGCTGCTTACTGCGTCGTTAGCAGAGCGCGTTGTTATGCGTGCGTATGTATGTGTGCATAGAAGAAGTGCAGAATGATTAGAATATTAGCTTGGAGGGTTTAGGGTATCTCTTAGTCGAGCAGTTTCGACTAGAGCTTACTTACTTGTTCTCTTTAGTAAGCATGCAAGTGACACATATACGCCTTGTTATTTTGAGTTGAGAGAATTTCCCTAGGCATTTAACACCTTGATGCCTTATGGGCTACTTTTAAGAGCTCCATCAATAAGGCTTCGGTATAAGAATTGCAATGCTATGCACATATATAATGAATTCTATTGTAATACTCTTAAATATTTTAGCTTCAAAGGCAATAAGTTTTATATATTAGATTTATTCAGGATGTGAAATGAAATAGATTTATTGAATAACTGTAAACCTGCTTTAATAAATAATATCTCTTATTTTTCACAATATTTGATCATACTTATTTAGAGTATATAAAAGTCCAACATCTATTAAATTTTTCATCCTATAATTCTCGTTAAATATTTCTTTAAAGTCTTACATCGTTTACAAGGTAAGCAGTTCTCACATTAAATATCTTCCGATACCAGTAAAGGCCTATTTTTAGCTTTCAAGTTAGACAACAATTAGAGAGGTAATAGGATTTTGATATTAAGCTAATTATTTCTGTATTAGATATAGCGTTTAATAGATTAATTTAATTGCAAAGAGCTTGTAAAGATTTGCTCTATAATTACACAATGGCCGCATTCAAGCCAGACGCTAATTAGAGGATTCTCTGTGTCTGGCCTGAGTTTTATTATCATTGTTTAACTGGACTTAAAAGTGGCATCTATCCCACATGCTCCATGTTTTCCCCTTTTGTTGTCTTAATGTGTACACAATTCGGTGAGTATGTGTGTGTGTGTGTATGCGGTTACACAAAGTCCAAAGCCCGCAGCGGCGTAAAATTTGCTTTTAATTGGCTAAGCCCGTAAAATGGCCGCCATCTGCCGCAGGCATTGCAGCTTGGACATTGTCCACTCTTTTATGTATGCCCGCCAAGGACGCGCATCCCTTTATAGACTTACAACCCCATCCCATACCAATATCCCATATACATGTTACACGTATGTATTGTACATGTATTTTTAGCGCCCTTTTGTACGGCGAGGTGAGGTGAGTCCACCTGGCACGCGTGGCTTGTCAACGCCTTGTATAGCACACATTACGCAAGCTAAAAATATGGCAATTATCAAAGCTGTAAATGTAAAACGTGTAGCAGCTTTGGCTTTGGTTAGGCTTAACACATTCCTTATCAGGCCGCATTGGATTAGCGTAATTTTTGACCATAAATTATATATATTAGCAGAAAGTGAAATCGTTTTCATAAATCCATTCTCTAATCGCCAGATAAGATTGCCATTAAAAGCAATATCACCTATATAAAGCCAATGAATATTCACGATTTCATCATTCAGTGTCCCTTGCTTCAAACAGAATGAAGGTGCTCGCTTTTACCCTTCTTGCCCTGTTGGCTGTCAGCGCCCAGGCCGGCAAGCTGACCGACAACTTGATCAAGTTGATTCCCAGTTTTCCCACTGGCTTTGTCATCAACGGCACTGAAGCTGAACCCCACGCCGCGCCCTACATTATCTCTTTGAGCAGCAAATTCGAGAAGCACGCGCACATCTGCGGAGGAACCATCGTGAACAAGGAATGGATCGTCACTGCTGCACATTGCATCGTCTCCGACCCCGTTGGCATGGGAGTGATCGCCGGTCTCCACAAGCGCGCCGAGGTCGATGAGCGCACCCAGCACCGTCAAATTGACTTTGGCCGCGTTCATGAGCAATACAGTGGGGGCGTGGGTCCCTTCGACATCGCCGTCCTGCACGTCAGCGAGCCCTTCGAGTTCAACGAGTGGGTCAGCCCAGCTGCCCTGCCCAGCCGCGAGGAAATCCACGAGGGCGAGACCCACCTGTACGGTTGGGGCCAGCCAAAATCCTACATATTCACGGCTGCCAAGACTCTGATGACCCTTACCACACAGATTCTGAACTACGAAGAGTGCAAGGCTGTGTTGCCCGAGGATGCCCCACTGGCTCCATCCAATGTCTGCTCCGATTCCCTGCAGCAAAGCAAATCTGCCTGCAATGGCGACTCCGGCGGCCCCCTGGTCGTCGAGCACAAGGATGCTCCCTCTGAGCTTATTGGAATCGTTTCCTGGGGCTACATCCCCTGCGGCTTGGCCAACCAGCCCTCAATCTATACCAGAGTCTCCGCCTACATCGACTGGATCGTCAAGATCCAGAATGCCTACTACGTTCTTAACTAATTTGTTATTTATAAAATGCAATAAATAACTCACTTGACTCTAGTCAAATTCGGTTTAGCAATATAACTTTATAATGCAATTTTAATAGATCATGTGATCTGATAACCTATCCATAATCGATCATTATTTACGATCTAGATTATTGGGCTAGCTCGATTGGATTAGTAAATCTTTTTATGAATTAAAGTTTACTTTGTACTCTGTCTGCACTAGATTACCTATCTTCTGGAAATATTATTAAATTCGAGTTGAATTAAAGAAAGAGAGAATATAACAAGTAAGAAAGCTCTAGTCGAGACTGCTCGACTACGAGATCCCCTGAACCCTTGGAGCAATAGCTATTTCAATCATTTTTCGCGTCTTTCCACAAGAAACACGCACGCACACACACACACACACACGCACGCACACTTAGGCACACACACACTCATACACACACACACACAAAAGTGAGGGTGAGGGGGTGGATATAGGGGTGGGGAGTAAATTTTATCAAAAACCGAAATTGTATAAATTGCATATAAGCATACATTAAAAATTTGGAGACTCTAGCCATAAAGGTGTAGGAGATATGATTTCATAACTGGTTTTCGATAAAGTTTTTTATCGATAAAAAAAGAACGGGATGAGTTATCGATTTTTAGTGATAAGCTTGATATCCGCGCTGTAAATACGGACATTTAAAAAAATTGAAGTCTCTAGCTCTTATATCTTCTGAAATCGACGCGTTCAAACATACGGACAGACAGACATACGGACAGGGCTAAATCGACTCAGCTCGTCGCCCTGATCAAGAATATATATACTTTGTGGGGTCTGCCACGCCTCCTTCTGCCTGTTACATACATTTCAACAAAACCATTATACCTAGGATGCTCCCTCTGAGCTTATTGGAGTTGTCTCCTGGGGCTACCTTCCCTGCGGCGCGGCCAACTACCCCTCGGTCTACACCCGTGTATCTGCCTACATTGGCTGGATCACCAAAACTTAACTGAATTTTAGTTTCAATAAAAGTGAAATCACTCTGAGTTGGACAAATTTAAGCAGCTATCTAGAATTGATTTGATAATTTGATGTGCAATATTTTGATAATTGCTTATCTCAAATCTGTTATTAGTCGTTAATTTATTAGAGTATTAATATTGATGAAGAATATTCAATGGAATTTCAATGTGTAATTTATGAAAATCGAAAATGATATCTTCGATACCATAATTTAATAAATAAAAAGATCTTAATTTAACGAATCGATTTAGTCAAGTTACCTGTACTGCCAGAAAGGAAAACTTGTATTTATATTAATTTGCTGGTATTAATTTGATAGCATCAGTAGGTTAAGAACCAAACATCCGTTTAATGAACTAATTTTGAATGTGTAAAACTATCTGGCAGCGCCAAATTGTTAATCAATCTATAAATGTGGCAATAAGCTGGCTAAGCTTCTTCAATTGGCAGTCTGGCAATATTACCGAGCGCAATCGCATTACCCACTACCGTTGCATTTACTAAATGCTTATCAACGAGTACATACCCAAAAATAATAATGAATATGTGAGCATTTTGCATGAGCCAAAATGGGACACATTGGTGAACCAATTCCAATATTTGAGGGAACAGAGAGAGAGAAAAAGAGAGAAAGAGAGAGAGAGAAAGAGAGAGAGAGAGATCCCTTGTTATATTTGAATTCTAGAGTTCAATATTCAGCAATCTCGACATATTTGCATCAGCTCAACAACAAAATTTGTGAATCTGTAAAATACAATAATACGATAAGCGTTTCATAATGGCGGTAAACGCGACGCCAATTGCTTAAAGGCAACTTACATTTGTAGTGTCAACAAAAAAAAAACCAACGCAATATGAACTGCTCTACACCCAAACCTACTATCACTCTCTTATCATTTAATCGTTCTATGCTGGTATTCTCTAAATTGTACTTTCCCCTCCAGTCGGCGTTCATGAAATTTTCAAGGCAGCATATTAAACATCAATGAATTTTCCAATCAATTACTCCTTATAAATAAGGAATCGTTAAAAAAGTATAATAAGATAAAATACAGTCTAGTATAGAAATCATAATCCGTTTTAAATAACTCTATCTGGGAACGCTCAAAAGACTAGGACATATATATATATTTATACATCATAACAAATCATCTTTATCATTTTTAGACAATTTTATTTTGAAAATGCTATGATCATATCACATCATATATATAGATAATTTGTTACTTCCTGTCAATTGTCTGCAATAATCGATGATCACATCGATGGTGAACTTCACAAACGTTCCAATGCTTTACACACGCGCCCAATCAGACCCATGATCTTGCACAAAAAAAAAAAAATATATATATATATAATAAAAAAAAATCGTTTGCTTTGTTCATAGAGATACCCAAGATATATGGTGGTCAGGAATGTAAACCGTATTTTGAGATTTACGATTGACTTGGCACATTATTTACTTTCGCATAGGACTTAGGCCGCCGACCCACTTGTCTGTAATGATCCGATCGATAGCAAAGTTTCGATTGATGTTCATCTAAAGTGGGCGATTCCTGGACTGTCAGTCTATTATATAAAAAGTAGCACTTGGCCTAACCGGGACACGGTCAACTGCGTAAATCCGGTACTATATATATAAAAGAACACAAACAGTATTGTAAATCTGCAGCGCGTCAATTGAACGACTACCATATAGACCAATTGCCATTGGCGCCCTTGGCTGGGTACTGGGGGCTATAAAAGCAAATACTCCAGTTACCAGTATCAAACAGAAAACTGCGAACAATTAACATGAAACTATTTGTGGCTCTTATTGCACTGGTCGTGGCCTCCGCCAACGCCAATATAATTGGCATGCCCGGCTTCCCAGAGGGCCGCATCATCAATGGCAACGAGGCCAAAGTTGGCGAGGCACCCTTCATTGTTTCCCTGCAGACGACCTGGAACGCCCACTACTGCGCCGGCTCGCTGATCAGGAATGACGTCGTCCTGACCGCCGCCCATTGTATGACCCACACTAATTTCCAGGTGGTTGCCGGCGCTCACAGCCGCACGAAGAAGTCCGTGGCTCAGGTGCGCAAGGGCAGCAGCGCCCGTCAGACCATCCACGAGAAATATGGCGGCAGCGTTGGCCCCTTTGACATTGGTCTGATCTTCCTCGATAAGCCATTCAACATCAATACCCGCAATGCGCCTGTCGCCACCATCGCTGTGGCCTCCAAGCAGTACGCCACGACCGGCAATGGTGTCCTCTACGGCTGGGGTCGCGACAACTCTGGCTCGAAGCCTGACAAGCTGCACAAACTGGATGTGGAAATCATTGACTACAAGAAGTGCTTGGCTAACATGCCCAGGGGTAACAAACTGGCCGAGACCAATGTCTGCACCTTCAGGGCTGGCACCACCGACGGCTCCTGCACCGGCGACAGCGGCGGCCCATTGGTAAACAGGCGTCCCGACGGCTCATACCAACTGGTTGGCACCGTCTCCTGGGGCTACACACCTTGTGCCAGCACCAAGTATCCATCGGTCTACACCGACGTTGCCTCCTACAGGAATTGGATCCAGCAGCACATTAACGACTTCTAAGCATTTCTGAGAACTCAATAAACGAAATGAAAACTCTATTGCACTGCTTGCAAATATTGCTTAATCTACCTCTAATTTTCTAGCATAGATCACAATCCTTTTTAAAGAACTCCATCTGGCAACGCTGAAAACACTAGTATGTCCTTATATACATCAAAACAAATCATCATTATCATTTTTAGACGTTTTTATTTTCGAAATGTTATGATCATATCAAATGAGAAATGTAATAATCGATAATCACATCGATGGTGAGCTTCTCAATACTTCCCGCACGAGCCCAATCGGACCCATGATCTTGCAAAAAACGAAAATTGATAAAATATCGTTTGCTTTATTTATAGAGATTACCAAAAATATATGGTGGCTAAGAATGAAAACCGTTTTTTGAGATTTACGACCCACTTGGTGCATTACTTATTTTCGCATAGACATTGTAAGGCCGCCGACCCACTTGTCTGCGATGATTCGATCGATAGCAAAGTTTTCATTGATGTTCATCTAAAGTGGGCGATTCTGTCTGTAGTATACAAAGTAGCACTTGTCCCAACCGGGACACGGTCAACTGCGTAAATATAAATATGAAAAAAAAGGATCGTAAATCTGCAGCGCGTCAATTGAACGACTACCATAAAGACCAGTTGCCATTGATAGCTAAATGTATATGCGATAAGCCTCGACTAACTGATAAGGCGCCACTGGCTGGGTAACGGGGGCTATAAAAGCGCATACTCCGGCTACCAATATCAAACAGTAAACTGCGAAGTCAACAGCTGTTAACATGAAACTATTTGTGGCTCTTATTGCACTGGTCGTGGCCTCGGCCAACGCCAATATAATTGGCATGCCCGGCTTCCCTGAGGGCCGCATCATCAATGGCAACGAGGCCCAAGCTGGAGAGGCACCCTTCATTGTCTCCCTGCAGACGACCAAGAACGCCCACTACTGCGCCGGCTCGCTGATCAGGAATGACATCGTCCTGACCGCCGCCCATTGCTTGACCTACGCCAACTTCCAGGTGGTTGCCGGAGCTCACAGCCGCTCGGACAAGACCGAGACTCAGGTGCGCCAGGGCAGCAGCGCCCGTCAGACCATCCACGAGAAATACGACGGCGGCGTTGGCCCCTACGACATTGGTCTGATCTTCCTCGATAAGCCATTCGATATCAATAGCTTGGCCCGCAACGCGCCTGTCGCCACCATCGCTGTGGCCTCCAAGCAGTACGCCACGACCGGCAATGGTGTCCTCTACGGCTGGGGTCGCGACAACTCTGGCTCGTTGCCCGACAAGCTGCAGAAACTGGATGTGGATATCATTGACTACAAGACGTGCTTGGATAACCTGCCTAAGGGCAACAAACTGGCCGAGACCAATGTGTGCACCTTCACGGCTGGCACCACCGACGGCGCCTGCAACGGCGACAGCGGCGGCCCATTGGTAAACAGGCGTCCCGACGGCTCATACCAACTGGTTGGCACCGTCTCCTGGGGCTACACACCTTGTGCCAGCACCAAGTATCCATCGGTCTACACCGACGTTGCCTCCTACAGGGACTGGATCCAGGAGCACATTAACGACTTCTAAGCATTTCTGATAACTCAATAAACGAAATGAATTCTATTGCACTACTTACGTCGTCCCACTTAATGAACTTCTCGCCATCCTGCAGAGCCTTTGGCACCTCCACGCTGGCCGTCGATATGTAGGTGCCGCCTGCGCTCATCATTCTGTTGGCCCTTTTGGTTTGCTTGTTTCCTGTTGTTGTCTCTGGTTGCCTTTATTTTATTTATTTTAATTTTTTTATTTTTTTTTGGGTTTAGCTGCTGCGCTGCATTTCCTTTGTTGAGTGTGTTTCGTTAGCAACTTTTGTGATTCTCTCAATTGTTGTGGCTTCGCATACAAATGACGCCATTTGAGCGTGTCCTGCTTCTGGTGCGGCTGGCTTCAATTAGACCGCCGCTGCAACTTCGGCCCGTTGCACCTGCAGCAGCTGCATTCTGTCCGCTTCACTGTTTGCAGCTCGATTGAAATTCCGCCAATGTCCGACTGCAAAAGAAGTGCAAACAAACAAACGTTTAGCGTGGTGCTATCAAATAGCCAAGTAGCTGCCGTTGTACATATATACATATATATATTTGTTCTATTTAATGCACTTGAACAGAGATTGCCTATCAGCAGCCCTGACCACAGCCCTGCCCCATTGTGTGGCAATGTGTTCTAAATAGCTAAAAATCTAATTAAGGAGATTAACCTGTTTAGTTTGTATTAAAATGTAAGTGGATTCAAGGCAGAGCTTTTTCTTACTCCTCACGATACCCCTTAGTATTTTATTTTAAAGTCTATAGTTCCTAGATTTTTTGCACTATAAAACTTTATAAAACCTATAAAACTATAAAACCTATGACAGTATTTTCGGCTCTCTAGGGCTTAAAGGTAATTTTTTTTTTTTTAATTTAAAATTTTTTTTTTTATATATTTTACAACAAATTTATACATATAATATAATAATATACATATAATATTTAATTGGGCTGTCAGTTTTTTTTATTTTAACGCTCTCAATTAATAAACTTTGTTTCAAAATAAGCAAAAGTTTAATAATTATATAATTTTCTTTTGTTTATAATTGTTGCATAACTTGCAAAATTAGAAGAAAATCTGCTTGTGGCTTTAAGTCGTCAAAAGAGTTTCTTTTGCTTCTTTGCGTCTTTTTTGTTTCTCTAATACGCTTTGCTTTTAATCAAATCATTCCATTATATTTCATTTGCATCTCATATTGTCTCTGTCATTTTCATTTGAATATTTTTCGAAGACAAAAAAGAAAAAGTTTGTCTAAAACTGAAAATGAAATTTTGTGTAGTGGCGAGAATTCAGCTTATTTTCTTCGCCTTTTCTCTCCCTTTCGCATATATCAAATTTGAGCAAGATTTATGGAAATATATGTTCGGTTCTTGTTTCATATTTCAAGCTTGCCTCCTGCTGCTGCTGCTCTAAATATATTCCAGAATTTGTAAAAATAGTTCAGCTTTGACTATATTCAAATCAATTCATTCCATTCTCTGTCTGGCTGAATAGACAGCTCGTTAAGGTCAGCTGCTGTGGCTGCTTCTGTTGCTGCTGCCTCTGCACAGATTTTTGGCATTTCCGCTTTGTTAGCCTATTTTCGGGCTGCCTTGACGCATTGTGTAGGTTTATTTGAATTTTTTTTTTTTATTTTGTTCTCCTATTTTGCTTTTTTGCATTTCATTTAATCGAAATTGTGCTCTTGCTAATTTGGCGCACAAACGTTCATTTTTCAGCTTTCAATTAGCAGACTTTTGATCCCCGCAAGCTGAAGCTGTATTGTGCTTGAACTTTAAATAGACATCCGGTGGAAGCTGAGCTCCCAAAACGTAACAGAACTGTGCACCGATGACAGCAGCCGATAAATGTTTAGTAAATTCATTCATTCGGTATGCGATGCTCGCTCGTGAATCATTTATGGCGAATGCTTTAAGTTTTGCTCTCGAAAACACTTAATCCGCTTACGACAGGCCAGACGAAGAGCCAAGAGAGAAGCAGATAACGGCTGATAGAGTAGGTAAGAGATAATAAGGGACGCTCACACATACTCACACACGCCCACTCTGTGTGCACACACACATACGTGACTTTCCAACTAATTCATATATAATTTCTTTTGGCCATGCCATAACCAATTTCAGCCAAAGACACAAAATGAGAACGTTAGCAAACTTTTACTCACTCCGCAAGCCAAACAACTTGACCATGTATGTGTGTGACTGCTCACCCACACACACACACACTTGTTCGAAAAGGAAGTCATTTGTTTTTTTGTTATTGTTGTTTGTGCGTACTATGGCACAAATAAATTGAATTTGTGTGCATTTATTTTTGGCAGTTTTCCTTCCATTTTCCATTTTCCACTTCTGCACATTTATCGTATTGTCCGCAAACGGAGCATTCACAGGTTGAGCTTCGTACGCCAGGGCAAATTTCTGCTCGCTGCGGAAGTAATTAAACATTTTGTTTTGCATGCGAAGCGCGTGGAAATGATTGGAAAATTGTTATGGCTTACATAAGCGCGAAGGGAAAATCGAATGAAAATTGCCAGTCGTTTCAGTTTTTCCGTTTTGTTTTTCATTTCTTTTTTGTTTGTGCCACCAGCTCCTTTAGCTCTATTTTCATTTCAGTTTTCCGTTTCTTATTTTTTTTTTTATTCGCACAAATCGTTTTAAGTGTTTTATGGCAAACGGGCAAAAATTTATTGCAGGCAATTTGCAGATATACCCACGCCCGACTCCCTGTTGTCAGGGCGGGGCGGCAGGGGCGTGGCTGGGAATCACAGCAGCAACATACAGATTTGAAGTGACTTCCACTCCTACTGAACCAACAACAACAACAATAGCAAAAACAACAACATCTATAATAATAACAGGACCAAAGCGAAAGTCGCATGAATCATGCATGCGACACAGAACAGAACAAAATGGCGGCTCTCTCGCTCGCTCGCTCCTGACAAACGCTCTCGGGGCAGCGCCATAAATCAAAAGAAGCCCCAGTCGAAAAAAATAAATAAATAAAATAAAGTAAACTGTAAAGTGCAAGGAATGAAACTAGCAAATTTCTGAATACTCTTTGTAAAGATAGTAAAAAATATCCACTCTCACTTTATGAGCCATAACGCATCACACTAAGCAAGCTCTCTACATGGCTGCTTTATATTGCACAGATGTGCATGGATAAAAGTAAAGAGAATAAAATTAGACTTGTGTTTTGTCGGACAATATATTTTAGACATGAAACCTTTCCAGACTCGTTCATTCTTAGGCTAGCTAAACAGCCGTTTGATTACGCTCCATGGTCTAATTTGAGACCAAGCGCTTGCTAACTGTAAATTGCCTCTTTTAACATGCGGATTGGGCTCGCTCTCCAACTCTCTATCAAGTGTGCCTGCATAATTATTTTGATCAGATGAAGCTTAGTTCTCTTATTTTATTTTTAATTTAAGATAAAGATAAGATAAATGAGAGATAATAAAAAAACTAAAATAAAAAAATTTAAATTAATTAAATATACTTGATCTGCTGATTTATTCTTTTAAAATAAAATCAAATAAATAATAATAATAATTTTTGTTGCTTTAATATTTCAAATATAAATATAAATTTTTAATTTATAAATAATTATGATTGTCTAAACGTCTTTCCTGTTAAGTCTTTGAAAATATGCTTTAATATTCAAGGTCATTGCTACTCCATATTACCTAAAGGAACGTTGTTCAGCTCTTAAGCTACGCGGCACATTTATGCTCAAGACATTTGTAATCTTCCAAATTATTATCCTCCATGGTCATTTTAATGCAATAAAATCCCACAGAAGAGTTGAATTTTCCTCTCCGCTCACATTATACAAGCCCATAAAAGATACCTCAAATCGTTAAGTAACATTTAGAAATGCACATGTGCTCCATGGTCACATATACGTACAACTCTTCAACCATAACAATAATGCGCTGCCTGAACATTATGAAGAATATGCTTATTGTTATGTGGTTAGCAGAAAAAGAAAAAGAGAAAAATATAAAAAGAAGGAAAAGTAAAATAAATATCCTTTCCGGGACATAATCAAACTTGTGCAGCCTGCGGCAGATGCCGCACAAGTGACTGGCGAATCAGTTGCTGCTGCTGCTGCTGCTGTTGTTGTTGTCGACAAAGTTGCTTGTCAAACGGCAATCTTGGAGCTTGGAGCTCAGTGCTGGCAAAAAAACATGATAATCAAATCAAGGCGCCAGCTATTTGGTTAATGTGCATGACAGCGTTGCCGATGCCGACAACGACGACGGCGACGGCGACTTCGCCTCTGCCAGCCAAGTTAAAATGCTTAAAAGTGAGGCAGGTGAGCTTCAAAAGATAAGCGATGAGCAGCAACAACAACAACGACAACGACAGCAACAGCAACAGCAGCAGCAACAGCATGAGGGCGGAAATATTGGGAGTCGAGGAAAATTGTGTGGCATGCTTTTAGGAGCAAACGTTTTTGTCGACGCGCAAATTGCAGCGACAGCCTGTGGCCTGCCAATGTGTGAGTGTGTGCGTATATGCGTATGTGTGTGCGTGTGTGTATGTATGACTATAATTTCATTTGTGGTACATACAACTTTCGCTGGCGCTTCATCTCGCATTGAGCGCCCAAAGCGCTAAAGCGTCCAAGTGAGAGAGAAAACGAGCGAGACAGAGACAGAGACAAAGAGAGAACGAGTGTGTGTGTGTGTGTGTTTATGTGTGAGTGAAAGAGCGAGAATTACATTAAACTAATTGCTTTAGCTTGTCATTGTTGTTGCTCTCATGTATTTATTGTTAGTGAGGCTTTCAGGCGAAACCGAATTATATTCACTTGTATGTCAAGATACATTTTTGTATGTGTGTTGCTGTTTGGCTATTATATATAACATTTGAGGCAGCTGTACAGTTTGACAAGCGCTGTGCATGTTCTTGCCGGAGCGAGACAGAGTGATTGGCAGCAGCAGCAACACTCGAGTCTGCAATTACCTTTAACCTTAAGCATAACAACTCAAACAAGCGCTGCGAAATCAAATATTTAAGCCAACGCACACATTCCAACACGGACGACAGAGAGGCTGGCTATGCGCCACGCCCACAGGCAACAGAAAGAAAAAAAAAAAAAAAAAGGATTCGGCAGCGCTTTTCGGGTTTATTAAAATGCAAAAGTGTTGAGTAATTTTGCGGGCAGCTTTTGCCTACTTTGTTGTTCGAGTCGCTGCCTTGAATATTTCAACAGCGCAGCAGCGCGGCAATCATGCAAATTCCTTGGCTCGAGTTGTTGCTGTTATTGCCTGGACGCTCTTGGCGCGCACTTCACGCGTACAACAAATTCATCAGGCTACAAATGAGCCGAGCCCGCCCAGCGCATTATGTCAACAATCCAAACCCCAGCCAAGCCGGCCTGCTCTCTGGCGATATCGGTGGCATAAAGTACACAAATAAATAAAAAAAATTATATATATATAAAACATTCTCCCTCTC